AAACACTATTTCTATCAAATTAAACCACTACACACTACTTGGATTTCTGATCAAGATCACAAGTACATATGGTTTCACGATCAAGTCTTTGATTGGGAAGTTCAAACTATTTTGAACAACTCAATCATTGACAGAGTTTAACAAAGAGTTACTAGTGTTTTTCAGATAAAACATGACAGGAAAGAACCGGTTCAAAATATCAACAAACATGGCGCGCAAAGGAGCCACAACCGGCCAAAGGAGGATTTACATGCCAAACATGAGAGATGAGGGAAATCCAACCACAATTCAATCCAGGAGGGATAGAAAAACAGTTCGGTCGAAGCAGAACTCAATTGGCCCGAGTAAAAAGGAGATATCACATCACAATCACTCTCTCGGCCAGAATCGACGAACCAAGCGACAATGCTCGACCATCTCCCAAACGGCACGACCGAAGTCCACCAAACTTCACAGGCGACCTCAAAACATCATTTTGGTCGGCAAATCCAAAAGATAGGACGAGAAAAAGTGCCTGCTACGTGAGATAGACGAAGAAGCTCAATACGGCCGACGGCGATGCATAGAATGGCCGACGAACTCAAAACCTCAAGAAGGCGCGAACACCGGTGGAAACTGATCCTCTGGAGTCCAAAAAACACCAAGGAAGAAGAAAGGAAGGAGACGATCGAACAGAATACAAGATGGCCAAAGGAATCACATCACGAAGCCATTGGCGCGCACGACGAAAGATCTCCGAATCCACACGTTCAAATCGCCTCAAACTTCACAAGGAGCCACAAAACATAAGGTTGGTCGATGAAACTTCATTTCAGTACAATGAATTCCTTACAATTCAAGAGATGGCCGATGGAGTGAAATTTGGCCGATCGCGAGCAAGTAAAATGGCCGACAATCCAAATCACGGCATTTACCGCGGCCACCGGCTCAAATCACCTCCATCAAGCATCCACATCGCATCTAAAGAAGAAAATCCGGATTGGAACGAGCAGAATTGGAGAAGCCGAAGGAAGACGTTCCCGGAGCCAATTTGAAAATTTTTCAAAGGAGATCTCAAACCACTCGTTCAAACGACCCCAAACTTCACCAGTCGCCATATTATACAATATTGGTCGACGAAATTTCAAGATAGGTCGAGGAAATCTTCACGGTTCGAGCTGTAGTCCATACCATCACCATCCGGTCGACCAAAACGGACCAGTCTCGGCCAAAAAGGCGAAAAACAGAAAACCAAGGGAGAATTGTCACATTCATCCAACCAAATCCAACAGCTATGATGTTTGCACCAGTCAGTTCATTCCTGGAAGCAACCTCCTAGCGCACAACCGATCTTCACATCAAAGGCCAAAAATTTGGGTACAATTTTCTACAAACTCTAACTTTTCCATTCTATTTATCATTACCTCTCTTAATTGGATTTTTCTTACACCGAGACGGTGCAAGTTAAGTCTGGGGGGATTACTAACAAGTTTGTTCTTTTTGAATTTCATTGAGTCGTTTTATTGAGTCAAAATTTTGTCAAAGGATTATGACCTTATCTTGGATCTAACCATTGTTGTGCTAACGTTTAAGTGACCATTGAAGCAGTCTTGGCAATACATCTTACCACAGGGACACTATGAGTTGATCGATCTACCAAAAACGCCCACACCTCCAAGGACTTGAGAAGGATCCACTCTTGACTCCGCCCTTAATGAACTTAATCTTCTCAGCTAGGGGCTTGGCATACAAATGGCATGATTCCTCATCCTCTCCATCAAATGAAAAAGTCTTAGTGAGTTCGTGCTTCCCTCTCTCTCCCCTTCAAATTTAAAGAAAAAAAAAAAAGGAAGGTAAATAACCGGGGATTCGGTGGCAAACACCATCAATACTCGCGTCTATGGAAGGCCTATGAATCCAAGCAACCGGGGATTCGGTGGCAAACACCATCAATACTCGCGTCTGTGGAAGATCAAGCAAAACCTCTATAATAAAGAGAAGGAGTTGAATAAAAAAATACTTCGCTACCCTAAAAAAGGGATGAGTCAACTCAAAGAAGTGAGAAGAGAGAGAGGAGAAACATGGAGTAAAAAGACAAGTGCCAAAACAAGGGGATGAGTAAGAGTCTAAAGCCGGCTGATCGATACTCCCTAGTTGAGACCACACCTTTAGAAATGAAAGGAGTCAAGGAGGGTGAATTGGATTGTCCAAAGAGAGGTGGGCCGCCTTGGAAAAATCGCAAAACTCATGGTATGTACTCTTGTTCTTAATTCAAATATTTGCCTTTACTACTTTCATGTGGATTACTAAAACCAAGCCAACCCGGATTTCCTAATGATTTGAGAGTTCTTGCGTTTTCAAACCTCTCTTCCTCTCTTAGTTTGCTTGGGGACAAGCAAAAGGCTAAGTCTGGGGGAGTTGATATACCCATATCTTTCATGTTTTTATCAAGGTTTTCACTATGTTTTTAATACAAATAATGTGGTTTTTAGCCCAAGAGGTAGTTTTCTTGTATATTCTGGTTTTGAGCATCATTCAGGTCAAAATAGCAAAGAAGAGTCAAAATGGAGCAAAAAGAGTCAAATCACCAAGTTCCCAAGTCTAGAGCACCAAAATCTACATTTCTCGCTAAAGACCAAACCGGAGCATCCGAAGTACGACCGCATGTTCATGCCTTCCCGACGTCCAAAAGTCATGATTCTTATATGGAAAGATAGATATTTGAGTCATGACCCGCGGCGAAGTGGAAAGAGGTCATTTGGATCACTCGTTGGACCGGAACTTATTTTCTACCAAGACATGTCCGACGAGCGCCTAAGTAGAGCCCATGGAGACTTTGATGGATCAAGAGGCCCGAGATACCGCGCCCAAGGCCTTGGCTCATCTTGACACTAGCATAACTCAATCCAGAAGCTTCCATTGGCCTGAACGCGGCCCATTCAAGAACTTGGAGAGCAAGCTCAAGCGGCTAAAGAGAAATGGAAACTTTCCTCTTCTGCGCGCGCTCAACTTTGCCGACCTAGACCCGCTCTCTACCTATATATACTTGCTTTTAGCCTCTTGTAATAAGAATCACCAGCCGCATAACAAGAAACACTTATTCAATAAAGTTCGGAGCCACTTAGGTGGTCTCCTTCTTCTTTCTTTTCTTCTTTTGCATTTGTATATAGCTTGCATGTTTCAATTTATATAGTCTAGAAGTAGAGATTTCTCCCTAAGGGTGAGGCGTGGTTTAGTCATATTCCGCCGCCTCTCTCTCTAAGGATTCATGAGACTTCATCTACTATCTAAGACTCATTGTTGAATTATGGATCCTTCCAATGAGGACGTGATATAATGGCCATCTTGAATCGATTGTTAAAAGGGGAAACCCTATGGTTCTCCATCTTTATTTATGCTTAATGCTTGTTGCTAGAGTAGCTAACTAGTGACTTGATTTTAGGTTGATATACTCTCCAAAAGCTTGTTATATCTCCGGACACAATATTTGATGGGCAAATCGTTTTAGGCTACGAAAGTAGACCTAAAGAGTTTTGTGAACAATCATTACTTGGATGTAATGCATGTCTCACTCTACAATGACCAACGAAAGCTGAGCCCATTGGTTTAAGAGACATAGGGGATTGGAACCACGAAAGTGGAATAATCCTTCCTTAGTGTTTTGAGTTCAAAAGAATCGGATTTTAACAAACTTTTCAATCGACTTGGCTCATGTTTTCAAAAGAGTTTTCAATAGTTCAATAATGTTGCTTGTATAGAATTGCATTGTTATTTCTTTTGCGTGTTCTAAACAAACACAAACCCTTGCATCTTTTGATTTAGCTTAGTCATTTAAACTCTATGATTATGTAATGTGTGAAATCCAATCCCTTGTGGTTCGACCCCTAAATACTACAATTATATGTTGTGCACTTGCAACACTAGTTGTCTTAGGGAATTATTACTTGTACTCATCCCAAAGATGCAGCGCATATCAACATGACAATGAGGACAAACATGAGTGAAACGGTCTCAATCCAAGGGAGGAACATGAAATGGACAAATTTGTGAACCATAAGAGCTAAGGAGTCCGAAATGTACCTATGTGCCTCCACATTGTCGGAACTCACGTGTAGTGTATAAGACAAACTAGATGGACTCATACTTACCCAAACATGGATTATTAGGTTCTATACATTACTATGAGGACAAACATGAGTGAAACGGTCTCAATCCAAGGGAGGAACATCAAATGGACCAAATTTGGGAACCGGAAGAGGTAAGGAGTCTGAAATGTACCTATGTGCCTCCACATTGTAGGAACTCACTTGTAGTGTATAAATGGAATTAGATGGACCCATACTTACCTAAACATGGATTCATAGGTTCTCCACATTACTATGAGGACAAACAGAAGTGCAACGGTATCAATCCCAGGGAGGAACATCAAATGGACCAAATTTGGGAACCATAAGTGGTAAGGAGTCCGAATTGTACCTATGTGCCTTCACATTGTGGAAACTCACTTGTAGTGTATAAGATGAACTAGATGGACCCATACTTACCTAAACATGGATAAATAGCTTCTACACATGACTATGAAGACAAACATGAGTGAAACGGTCTCAATCCAAAGGAGGAACATCAAATAGACCTAATTTGGGAACCAGAAAAGGTAAGGGGTCCGAAATGTACCTCTGTGCCTCCACATTGTAGGAATTCAGTTCTAGTCTATAAGATGAACTAGATAGAACCATACTTACCCAAACATGGATTAATAGCATCTACACATGACTATAAGGACAAAAATGAGTGAAACGGACTCAATCCAAGGGAGGAACATCAAATGGACCAAATTTGGGAACCATAAGAGGTAAGGAGTCCGAAATGTACCTCTGTGCCTCCACGTTGTCGGAACTCACTTGTAGTGTATAAGATGAACTAGATGGACCCACTTACCCAAACATTGATTATTAGGTTCTATACATTACTATGAGGACAAACATGAGTGAAACGGTCCCAATCCAAGGGAGGAACATCAAATGGACCAAATTTGGGAACCAGAAGAGGTAAGGAGTCCGAAATGTACCTCTGTGCCTCCACATTGTGGAAACTCACTTGTAGTGTATAAGATGAACTAGATGGACCCATACTTACCCAAACATGAACGAAGTTTTGCTGAGCTACGGACGATTATAAGCCCTCCTCCGGGAATAATATACCTCTATTTTACATGCTTTTTATACTGTTTTAGTTGTTTTCTAATGGTTTTTGGCAGGTTTTCTATCTAAAAAGGTAGTTTTACTGTGTTTATAGTGTCTAGAGTCTAAACAGGTGAAATGATGCATTTTGGAGCAAAACCATAGGATTTGCACTTCAAGCCGCTCCATGCACAAGCACCAACTTTAAGAGGGCCCAGAAAAAGATCTACTCAATGGATTTCATCAAGACCAGTTCCCTGCGTGCTCTGATTGAGTTAACTTTCCAACGCAATGGAATGGCATCATTTGGATGAGTAGAAAAGGAGTTATAACCAAAAGAGTGAAGACTGTCCAGACGGCTTATCGAGAATCGCGCCAACCGCGCACCCGGCCGAGAGGAACTATGTCCGCGCTCGGCCAGAACATCCGTATTCCATCCGGCCAAGTCACGGCCGAGCTCACGTACCGACCCGGGAAACATTGTCCCGCGGTCGAGCCAAGCTCGCCACCATAAGCCGCGCACGACCGCGCCGCGCGAACCGGGAACAGCCTCGCGGCCGCGCAACTCATGTCCGCGGCCGATCACCCGTCCGACCGGGAGAACGTCCCACGTCCGGCCGAGAACCTTCGGCCAAACCATCCGCCGCCGACCCGACGGCCGACCGAAGAATCCTCGGCCACGACCCCGACCGTTCCGATGCCGACCACGACCCGATTGTCCGGCCGATCGTCCCGACCGACCGTCCCAACGCCGCGGTCGACCCGAAGCCCGTTTTGAAGCCCAAACTTTGTTTTCAAGCCCGGCTTAACCCTAAGCCGCCTCTGAAGACCTAGCACTATATATATATTTTTAGCCTCTTGAGAAAGAGAGCCGCCCTGTATTTCGATTTCCTACTCTAAGTTTTATTGCAATCATGTTTTCTTCATCTCTATGTGTGTTTGCTTTGATCATGTCTGAGTAATCCACTAGTTAGGTTGCTAGGGTTACTATTCAATGAGTTGCTTGCATGATCTTTGATTTCAATGATTAGCTAGGGATTATATTAGAGTCTTTGTCTCGTCTTGTGCACTTAACTAATGCTGATTGCTTTACCGCGCATCTAGTAATCCGATCTTAGGTTGATTTGAGCCTCGACAGTGCTGTATCATTCGCCGGACATATTCTTTGACAAGCTAGGTTTCTTAGACTGCGAAAGTTGATCTATCTATATCTAGTGAACTGTATCAGAACCTATTCATTCTAATGCTTGATTTAATCACCTAGGGACATACCAAAAGTTTAGCGACTAGGTAGATTAGCAAAGGAGCCGGAGCCTCGAAAGTGGAATGGTTTTATATTCGTGATCTGTGTTCTAGATGGTTCTTAATATCCCAATATCCCTAATCAATTAATCTATCATTGTTTCATTGATCATTGCTTGCTTCTCTGCGATAGCCCCTATGACCTAGCGCTTTTCCTTTATTGATTTACAACCTCGTTTACTTGCTAGTTCGGTTCACCATTACAACCTCAATCATACTTTTGTTTTAGCTTGATCCAAAATCCATAGTTTCAAAGTGTACTCAATAGCCAGTCCTTGTGTTCGATACCCATACTTCCGCGATCTGTGCACTTGCAGAGGTCTAGGAGTTTGGTAAAACCTGACTCACATCAAGTTTTTGGCGCCGTTGCCGGGGACTGCAGCAGTACCTTTGGAACTCGACTAGGATCTAGTCTAGAACCTTTTTTTTTGCTTTTTTTGCTTTTGAATTTTAGTTTTTGATTTCTTTTCTTTGATTTTTTTTTGTTTTTGTTTTTCCCTTTTGATTTAACTTGTTTCCAAGACTCTTTTCAGGTGCATGACTAGGAGGTCCAACAAGGACAACCTAGTTGAACATCCAGAGATAGACAAGCTTGAGAAGCAACTTAGGAAGCAAAAGCCCAAGAGATGGCCGACGAAGCAGCTCGCGCTCACGCCGCTGAAGTGGCGCGCGCTCAAGAAGAAGGAAGAGATCCACCTCCTCCTCCAATCCACAAGACCCTGCTGGAGATGTGAATGCACAACCTCAAGCTGGAGCACCTACAATCGGAGACTATGACTCTGCCGATGCTTTCTTCATGGATAGAAACCCTATCCATCCACCACTTCCTGCAAGGAATGACTATGAGATCAAGCCTCAGATCATAGCATTGGTTAGACAGAACCAATTCAATGGCCTTCCAGCTGAGCATCCTCTTGATCACATAGAAAACTTTGAAGAAATTTGCAGCACTACAAGATCCAATGGAGTCTCTGCTGACTACTTGAAGTGCAAGCTCTTTTCATTCTCTCTTGGCGACAAAGCTTCAAGATGGTTGAAGTCTCTGCCAGCTCACTCCATCACCACTTGGGATGAGTACAAGGCTGCTTTCATCAACCACTTCTACACCAAGCAAAGATCAATTTCTGTAGGAACAAGATCTCCAACTTTCGCCAAGCCAACAATGAATCTTTCTATGAGGCGCTAGATCGATTCAAGGAGTACATTAGGGACTGCCCTAATCATGGTTTCAATGAGGGAAACCTATGGAACATCTTCTATCGTGGCATAGACCACAAGTACAAGCTTTCATTGGATACTGCAAGCAATGGAAACTTCATGACCAAGACTGTTGATGAAGCTAAGGTTCTTATTGAGAATCTTGCAGCTAGTGATTGTAACAACTGTCCTGATTATGACCGCTCAAGCCGCACCACTACTAGCTCCCCTGATTCTTTTCAAATGACTGAACTCAAGAACATGATGGCTCAAGTTCTTAAGGGACAGCTCAAGCATATCAATGCAATAGAAGGGATGAGTGATGCTAATGAAGACCCATCAAGAGAATGCATGGGAGATTTCTCTAATAATGAAGAAGATGTGAACTACATTGGAAACTATGGGAACAAGGGATACAATCCAAGCTATCGCCCAAACCCCAACATGTCTTATAGAAACCCCAATGTGGAGAATCCTCAAGACCAAGTGTATCCTCCAAGGTATCCACAACAACAAAGACCTCCTTACCAATCTCAAGGAAGTCAATTTCAGCCAAGGCAAGGATATGAGCAGAGATCATCATATCCGCCCAAGGAGCCATATGCTTCTTCACCAAATCAAGCTCCTCCAAACCAACAAGGTGGGAGATTTGAAGGAATCCTCCAACAGATCATGGATGGCCAGAAGAGAAAACTAAAGAGATGTATGAGAAGATGGACACTTTGTTCAGCAATCTCAACACCAAGTATGATGCTGTTGCCACTCATGTGAAGAAACTAGAGACTCAAGTCACTCAAACTATGGAAGCTGTTAAGAGACAGGAAGCTGAATCCAAGAAGTCCTTTTGCAACTCAGCCGCCATAGAAGAAAGATTTGAAGACCAAGTTCCAGAATGGATGCTTTCAAAACCTACTGTTGATTGCATGATTTGGCCTGAAGAGAATTACCCAGAGAGAGAGTCCAATCGAGCTAGAAAGAGAAGACTCTTCCCAAAGATTATCCCCAAGACAGATAACTCAGGAAAGTTTGTTGTGCCTTGTATCATCAAAGGTAACATTCTTGAGCAATCTTTGTGTGACACAGGAGCCAATGTGAACATCATGTCTAAGAGGATAGCTGACAAGATAGGCCTCACCAAGATAGAGCCATCATCCATCTCCATCAACTATGCTGATTCATTCTCACAAACCCCTATGGCTTTGTGCCTAATGTGATGGTGCAGATTGGAAATTGCTCTATCCCTACCGATTTCCAGATTGTGGAAATGAGAGAGAGTAGCCATAGACCTCTCATATTTGGAACCCCTTTCCTGTCTACTGTGGGTGCCATATTTGATTTCCCCAATCAAAGAATCTCTTTCAACAAGGTGAACAAGGGTATGTTCTTCCCTATGTGTTCAACAAAGAACTCTTTTGTTGACATGGTCCAAGAGGAGAAAGTTACTTTGAAGCCACCCCAAGAAGGAGAAACTGAAGAAACAATCAAGGAAGATCCCATTCCTAAGCCCAAGCAGCTTGCCAAACAAGCAAGGAGTAAGACTAAGGCCCCTACACCAAAACCGCCCAAGGGATCAACCAAGATTGAAGATGAGGCCAAGCCAAGAAGGAAGGTTAGAAAGCCTAGGTCTGGCCGCAACATGAAGCTTCTATTCCCAAAGGAGCTTATTGATGAGAATCTAGAAGGATTCAAGGAGAAAGTGACAAGAACTCTAAAGCTTTTTCCTAAGGCAGTAGTGCCAAGGGACATTCATGGAGAGATTGTCTATCCAGCTGTGAATCACCCACCAGATACTCATTGCAAGGAGAAAAGACTTGGAGGATCAAAGATGCCTCTTGTCTCCATCTTCTCCTGAGCGCCAAGCCTTACAGTCAAGCTAAAGACTTAAAACAAGCGCTGCATGGGAGGCAACCCATGAGGTACTTTTACTTTTCTTTCTTTAAATTTCTTAGTTTTTGTTTTGCTTTTGTGTTTTCTTTGTTTTAAGATAGGATAGAAGGAGAAAAAGGTGTGAAAACACAATCCGCGCCAAAACATTGGCCGCGGACGCGCAAAAAATTTTGGCCGAGCAATTCCAATCGGGCCGACCGTACGGTCGAGCCGGGAAGGAACGGCCGCTCGGCCGGATCACATCGCGCGACAAAACCGTCGAGCGCACGCGACCGGAAGAAACGGCCGCGATCGGCCAAATGTATCGGAACGGACCGACCGTGCGGTCGATCCGGGAAACACGCCTCGGCCGAAATCGTTCCGCGAATTTGGCCGACCAAATCGCACGACCGCGACAAATCCATCGGCCATCGGCCCAAACTTTTCTCGGCCAAGGTAAGTCCCCTTTTCATTAATTCAAACCGGTTTTAACCAATCCTAAACCAACTTAAACCGGTTTTCAATCAAAATTCGAATTTGAAAAGGAAAATTGATAGGATTTAGATTTATACTTTACCTTTCCCTTGAAAAACAAGAACCTCTCTTTCTTCTCCAAAACCCTAAACTCCATTAGAGGAACTCTAAGAGTTTTGATTTCAAAACTTTTACTGTTCATAACTCTAAATTGGAATTTACTTGCTCTTGCAACCCTTATTCACTTTTCAACACACAAGGTATGTCTTCTAACTCTAATCCTATGTTTATGCAAGATCGAAATTCAATAAGTTTCTTGTTTGGTCTAAACTCTTGTCTAAACTTGAAATTACCATCCTTATTAGTCTTGTAATGAACTTAGCTAGGTGGAACCTAGGTGGTTTAGAGTTATTTGAAGTTTAATTTCACAATTGAATAGTTTTTCACAAAACTTATTGGGCATTCCAAACCCCTTATTCAAAGGTGAAATTGCTTGGCATACTTCAATTCATTAGTTTATCTAGTGATTACTTGGATTAGAAACTCAATTTCTCTTGATTTGCTGAAAATTTCGATTTTAAGCACCATAATCTTGAGATGAACAGTAAAATCCGAAAATTAACTTTGAAAAAGTGAAATTTCCATTTTGTCTCTTTGATTCATGATTAAGCCTTGAGTTGTTCCATTATTCCATATCATTATTACAACTCAATTAGCTTATTCTTCTTTTGCATTAATCACAAACTCATATTTCTTCCCAAGAATTTGCTCTTGTAGGTACCCAATGGCAAAGACAAAAGGAAATGAGAGTATGAAGAAGAAGAAGAACCCATTCATGGAACCACCAAAGAAACAAATCAAGCTAGGGAGTAGTAGCTCCAATGCAAGAGCACCAACTTCACCACATTCCATTGATGCAAGTCAAGAACATGTGGAGAGTCCAAGAGGAGAAGATGATTGGGCACTTGTAACTTTGTTGGAGAACAAATCCAAGACCCAAGAAAGTGCAAGAAGGCAATGGAGAAGGTGAACATCGAACCTTGTGTGAAGATGGACACCCAAACCCTTGATCTTCTCAAGATAAGAGATGATGTCACATGGTACATAAGGAAGCTAGGCTTGAGCAAGCTCTTCAAGCTAGAGTGTAGTGAGTACTCACAACTCACCAAGGAGTTCCTCTCCACAGTAGCTCTTGCCTTTCCCAACCACAATGGAGACCAACCAGCTGGTGATGGACTCCTACTCTTCAAGATAGGCGATGCCAATGGGCGCATCTCCATCTCAGCTCTATGCCAACTCTTTGGACTTCCCAATGAGACAGCACATGACTTCAAGGAGAACTCAAAGAGGAAACAAGCTGCCTTTGCTGATTGGACACACTTTGCCAATGAACCATTCTTGCCTTCAAATCAAAGGTGTCTAGAATCACTCATCCAGCCATTCGCTATGTGCACCGCCTCATCTCCACCACTTTCCAATGCAAACAAGAAGCCAACAAGGTCACAACTGATGAGTTCTACATCCTCACCACACCATTCATCAAGCATGAGTACAAGGCCAACCTTGGACTTTTACTTGCCAAGACATTCATCAATGTGAGGAAGCTAGCTAAAGACTTGGAAGGCAACAAGAAGCTTTGTGTTCGTTTTGGGAGGCTTATCACGGCCATAGTGCAACATGTGGGGATTGACATTCCCAACTATGAGCCACTACCCAAGCCAACCCCTTTGGATCTCCATGCTCTTCAGCACATCCACTTCCTAAACCGTTGGACTAAAGACCCAACTCGGTTTTGCTATGAGTTTCCAATTGGTCCAGCCAACACTTCCCTTGTCTTGCTGCCACATGAGACATCCCAAGCCTACGCTCAGGTGTTGTCACTTTCCAGCCCAAGGAGGAAGACTTCTATGTTCCATCAAGTGAGAAACCATCATTCCCCATGCTCACCTATCGCACACTTCAGCACAGTCAAGACTCAACGCCGCCACCAAGAACGCCATGTTCTCACTACTGGCATGGCCGCGCACCAAGCTCTAGACCGTGTAAGCAAGCTGGAGAAGATAGTGGAGTGCCAATCTCGCTTCATCTCACGCCTAGTTCGTGTAGTTCGCCACATTGCACCGGAGAGACTCTTTCGCCCTTCTTCCACCGCTAGAGAGCCATATGAGCCTGACCTTGGTGAGTTCTCACTAGACTCAGAGCTTGGTTCAGAAGGCGATGACCCCATAGATGAGGAAGAGAGTTCTTCTCACTGCCACACATAGTCATCTCAAGTGGTACTTAGTGCAATGGACACTTACAAATCTCCATTTTCTATCCCTATCTCATTTTAATGAATTTCTTCTTTATTTTTCTTTTACTTTGAATATTACCTCTCACCTTAATGTGATTTGCTTTCACCGGGACGGTGCAAGTTAAGTCTGGGGGGAGTTTTATTGTGTTACTAATGCATTTTTCTTTCTTTTCTTATGTTTTATTCACTTTGTTTCATGTTTTTCAAAAAGTTTTATTGAGTCAAAAACCAGTCCGGAAGTTATGAACTTGCTTTGAGAATTGAGAGTGTTGTGCTAACAATCCATGACCCTAGAGCAGAAACCAGCTAAAGGCACAAGCCTAACAGAAGCTCTTACAGTGGATCGACATGCTAGCTCAGCAAAATTTCTAAGGTAACCAAGCAATCTAGAGTTAACCTCACCCTTAATCAATCTTAATACTCTTGTCAAGGGGATTGGCATACATGTCGACAGTTCCTTGCTTGATTTTCAATAAGATTTGTCTAATCTTTAAAGAGTTCTCCTCTCTCTCCCATCCCAAATGGTAAGAAATATTTATGAGAAAAAGCTCAAAGAGCACAAGGAAAACAAGTAAGCATGAGGAATGCATATGTCTGTACCTTCATGTCTTATGGAATACCTTAGTCAAACAAGGAACAAGCTAAAGACTTATCCTGTGGTTGAAAGAAGGGTCAATAGAAAAAATAAAATGATACCCTAGAAAAGTAGGGAGAAATTGACCTTTCAAAGTTCTGATGTGAGAAAGAGAGAGGAAAAGAACTCATTGCACTTCAAAGACAATCTTGGAGAGATCAAGTGGGTAAGAACAAGTTCAATTGATCGATATTCCCTTGATAAAGAACTCACGCTTTAAATTTATGCAAGAGGTTAGCAATAGAGAGTTTGGATTGCTGGATGAGACTAGTTGGGTTGGTATTGTTCGCTAAACTTGCAGGGTGTATGTGAAGCTAACCTTATGTTGTCTATGTTCTTAGTGGAATACAGGAAAGGAACCTTTCACAGGATATTCAAAAGAGCAAGGGAGTTTCCACGTTTTCAAACCTCTTTCACGGATTTAGATTTTTTTGCTTGGGGACAAGCAAAGATCTAAGTCTGGGGGAGTTGATATACCTCTATTTTACATGCTTTTTATACTGTTTTAGTATTGTTTTCTAATGGTTTTTGGCAGGTTTTCTATCTAAAAAGGTAGTTTTACTGTGTTTATAGTGTCTAGAGTCTAAACAGGTGAAATGATGCATTTTGGAGCAAAACCATAGGATTTGCACTTCAAGCCGCTCCATGCACAAGCATCAACTTTAAGAGGGCCCAGAAAAAGATCTACTCAATGGATTTCATCAAGACCAGTTCCCTGCGTGCTCTGATTGAGTTAACTTTCCAACGCAACTGGAACGGCCTCATTTGGATGAGTAGAAAAGGAGTTATACCAAAAGAGTGAAGACTGTCCAGACGGCTCTATCGAGAATCGCGCCCAAACCGCACACCGGCCGAGAGGAACATGTTCCGCTCGGCCAAACATCCGTCCGTCTCCCGCCAAAGCACGGCCGAGCTCACGTACGACCCGGGAAAGCATGTCCCGCGGTCGGCCCAAGCCTCGCCACCAGCCGCGCACGACCGCCGCGCGAGCCGGGAAGCAAGCCTCGCGGCCGCGCAACTCACGTACCACGGCCGATGCACCGTCCGAGCCGGGAAGCACGTCCCACGTCCGGCCGAAATCATCGGCCAAACCATCCGCCGACCCCACGGCCGACCGAAGAATCCTCCGGCCACGATCGACCCAACCGTGCCGATCGACCACGACCGTCCCGAACGCCGCGGTCGACCCGAAGCCCGTTTTGAAGCCCGTTTCACACGTTTTCAACGGCCCGGCTTAACCCTAAGCCGCCTCTGAAGACCTAGCACTATATATAACTTTTTAGCCTCTTGAAAAGAGAGCCGCCCTGTATTTCGATTTCCTACTCTAAGTTTTATTGCAATCATGTTTTCTTCATCTCTATGTGTGTTTGCTTTGATCATGTCTGAGTAATCCACTAGTTAGGTTGCTAGGGTTACTATTCAATGAGTTGCTTGCATGATCTTTGATTTCGATGATTAGCTAGGGATTATATTAGAGTCTTTGTCTCGTCTTGTGCACTTAACTAATGCTGATTGCTTTACCGCGCATCTAGTAATCCGATCTTAGGTTGATTTGAGCCTCGACAGTGTTGTATCATTCGCCGGACATATTCTTTGACAAGCTAGGTTTCTTAGACTGCGAAAGTTGATCTACTATAATCTAGTGAACTGTATCAGAACCTATTCATTCTAATGCTTGATTTAATCACCTAGGGACATACCAAAAGTTTAGCGACTAGGTAGATTAACAAAGGAGCCGGAGCCTCGAAAGTGGAATGGTTTTATATTCGTGATCTGTGTTCTAGACGGTTCTTAATATCCCAATATCCCTAATCAATTCATCTATCATTGTTTCATTGATCATTGCTTGCTTCTCTGCGATTAGCCCCTTGACCTAGCGCTTCTTCCATTGATTTACAACCTCGTTTACTTGCTAGTTCGGTTCACCATTACAACCTCAATCATACTTTTGTTTTAGCTTGATCCAAAATCCATAGTTTCAAAGTGTACTCAATAGCCAGTCCTTGTGTTCGATACCCATACTTCCGCGATCTGTGCACTTGCAGAGGTCTAGAGTTTGGTAAAACCTGACTCACATCAGGGAACTCAGCTCGACTCTTCACCAATTCACGAACCTAACAGCTCGTAGAAAAAGGATGAGGCGCCACTGCGCACTCGTGTCTTCCAGACTCTCACCCCACTGATGAGCTCGCTAAACAGCTTGTCGAAATGGGATGAGGCGCATCCGCGCGCTCATGTCTTCCAGACTCTTGTCCCACCGATGAGCTCAATAAACAGTTCGTCGAAACGATACAAATCGCCACTACGCGCTCGTGTCGTTTCATCGATGAGCTCGCCAATGAGCAGCTTGAACATTCCAAATTCAAGAAAAGCAGAGATAGAATCTCAGCACACAGAGCGACTTCCATCTCCACCTCCATTGCTGCCAGGTGTCGAGCCAACTATATTTAGATGGCCCGAAACCATGGCTCACAACTTGAGCTCGCAAACCCCTGCAACAGCTCAAACTCAACTTAACAGAAACTATCAACAGTTTCCCGCAACAAATGATCTAGTCGATCGAGCTCAAATTCATAGAGCAAACAATCCAGCCGATCCAGCTCAATTGACAAAAGCAAACTGCTCGTTAAATCGAGCTCTATCACGTCCGATTTCAACTAATCGGATTCTTGTCGATCCGCGTAACCTCGTTGACTATGAATTTTTCGAAAGATTACATGACCAAACAAACTTCGCATTCCGGCAAGCGAACTCATCGTTTAACCAAGCAATGAGTTCGATTCCGGATATCGACAAAGTAATTAGGGAGACGCAACAAACTCCCTTCTCATTTAAGATCGCTAACACCTGTCATTTGAACGCAATGTACCTGAAATGGTACATCGTTAAAACGATATCATCCGAAGTATCTCTACCCCCACAAACTACGTCCAGGCTTGATCTTCCTTCCCTGGAGGTACATAGGCAGCTCGTTCATGAATCGAGCCCCAATCAAATTCATTCCTAATATTCGAGACGACTTCATTGGCCAGACCTTCAACAGGTCTGATTCGTATCATCTCAATTTCAATACTTTTCTATTTTTCTTTTTACGAAATTGCTCAAACTCACCTTGCGAATCCGTAAGCGCCTCATTAAACTCTTAAGCGTAAATAGATATATAGAAATAACTTGGTCCAGCCACGGAACAGAAAATCGCTTCCTTATTTCATAAAAATCCATCAGAGTCAACAGCATCCAAGCATCTGGCACCTATGTTACAGTCGAGTGCGAGCCGAACTCCTCAAGGCAGCCTGTAGTCTAACACGACATCAAGCTACTGTAACGGCATGTCCGATCGCACTCGACCCGAACGTGAGCCGAGAGACTCAGGCGGTTTGCATTATGATACGTAATCAAGCCGCTTCGACGGTCCCATCCAGACACGCTCGGAACACTATCTGTTGCGATAAAATCAACGTCACTCTGCATGGTAAACCATCTCTCCCACAAAGCCGAATTAGGAACACCTCGTATCAACAACCGGGAAAACAATAAACTTTGGGCCCAACAACCCAAACCAGCTAAACATTCGAATTACTCCTAAAGACATCGAATACTTAGCAAAAAATCCAGTCGAACCCAACTTAAAAATGGAAAGGCAATTAGCTCGATTCCGAGCAGCCCTTGAAAACTAAGTCCAACTGCTGACCATGTAGATCAATCTACTAAATCACACAATTAGCAAAAGCCAGTCGAACCCGACTGAACATCTGAAAGGTGATCAGCTCGATTCCGAGCAGTCCTCGAAGATTAAGACCAAGTGCTGATCATGTAGATCAATCTACTAATTCACACAATTGGCAAAGACCAATAGGAGATTAGCTCGCCAACGAGCAAACCTTAACAATAAAGCCCAAGTGCTGATCATGTAGATCAATCTACGAAATCACACAACTGGCATCAGTCGAATCCGACCGAAGACCTTAAAGGAAATCAGCTCAACCCTGTGTACTTCTTCAAAACTTCAGCCCAACTACTGATCATGTAGATTAACCTACAAAATCATGCAAGTGGCAAACACGAGTCGAATCTGACTAAAAGTCTAAAAAGAAATCAGCTCGACTTAAAGTAATCTTTAAAGATGAAGCTCGAGTGCTGATTGTGTAGAATCACCTACTGAATTCAGACGATCATCTAAAATCAGTCGTTTTCAACCGACACAACCTTCCAAGTTGAAGCCCAACAACACGTTAAAAGCTCGAGCTGGAATTCGAAAAGAAACTAGCTCAACTTTATATGATTCTCAGAAGAGATCAACTGAGCTTCATCCGGTCCGACCAGTTAGCTAACACGCTAGGTCAAATCTCCAATCAAACCAAAACGACTAATGATCGAACAATCAAGCTAACAGTCAATTGATCTCGAAAACAAAGATAAACTCTAAGACATCAAACGTCTAAGAAAAATTATCAAATATCAAGCTCATCCCGAGCAAAAAAGTTCGAACATAAAAGGATAAAAGCCTTCCCAAACACCAAATCCAAAAGGAAAGCGTAAAAACCCCGCCGAGCTAACTTGTTCAAAATTTAAATAAAAAGCGATAAAAGAGAAGAGAAAAGGAGGGAAATTCAATCCTCCGTTTCCGCCTCCTCGTCATTGCTCATCGTCTCCTCAGTACCGAGCACGTTCGGATCACAGGGAGCATTCGAAGAAGGACCAACATCCATACGAATAACGGAATCTTCCGATACTGCCGGAAGATCGAGAAGTCGGAAACTTGGACTGCCTCAAAGGCTTCGGTAAAAATACCCTCGTCTTCCCTCAACTTCTGGAGCTCATCTTTCGCAACAACCGTCCCATCCATCGGAGATTGAAGGAGCTCGATGTTAGCAAGCACCTCTTGGAGATCAAACTCCTTGACGCTCTCATCTTCCTACTTCTTCCACTTAGCTTTGATTTCTAGGAGGATCGCGTGATATTTTAGGGATATTTCTTGACGACCTTCGCGTTCAGCTCGACGAACGGCTTGAACCTTCTCGGCCTCCAAGACTTGTCTTTCCCCAGTTAGACGAGGAAACAAGACTCGTCTTGTGCGCCTCGAGAGCCTGATAAAGAGAAATCTTAAGCGTTAAACCCAAGAATATTGCTTCTTCGGCAAATATTTGGAGAAGGTAATACCTCCTTGTTCGCCGCCGTCGCCGCCGCAAACAGCTCCCTCTCGAACGTAAAATCTCAAAGAGGATTTTGACTCACGGTAGGCTTGCATTGGCGCGACATGGACGTTTCAAAATTATCAAAATCTGGAACGCTCTTCAAACGATCAAATGCCAATCGGGACGACGAGCTGACCTCCGGTTCGGATCGTTTGTTCAAGGAGCTCCGATCGTTTGTTTGGATCGGAGTCCGATTACCATCTCTTGCTCTCTTGGAGCTCCTTTCCGATTGCTCGCTACTCGAGCTCACCAAGATATTTCGTCTCGGAGGAGTCACATGGGTATTACCCTCTGTAGCAACATGAGGAGATCGTTCTGTTATTCCATCGCGAAAAGAAGATCCGACCGCGATCTGGGGAACCCCCACATCTCCATTATCCCCTGAGAAGCGATCAACTTCGCAGCTCGTTCACGAAACGTTAGCCTACGAGACATTTCCTTTCTCTGAAGAGATCGATAAATCGAGGACGAGCTCAAATTTGGTTTTGACGGAATCCGCCGATAAACTATATCATGCAAAACCTTGTTACTAAAACAAAGTACAAGATCAAAAACACCTCGAATCGAGTAAACGATACGCTTACGAGGTGGAACGATCAGACGAGAGGACTTGACGAATCCGTTCCGACGTGAACATATTCCAATTTGTCTTCTCTCTCCCGAGTCTAGCCACCAGATATTCGATCGACGAGTTATTCGGCACTGACTCGCAAACTGCAATAAACCAAAGGTTATCAGTCCGCAAAACTTGGTAACCGAATCCGATTCAAGAACTAAAAGCACGAAAGTGGTCGGAAAGCTAACCAACCCTAGTGGCCCATTCTTTTGGATGTTTGTCGAAATTGAACTCCCCAACGGAAGCTCAATTGAATTTGAAAAAGAATGACTCGTTGCTCCAACTAGAATCGTGATCGGAGTGTTCGTCAGAACATGACGGTTCGTCCTCGGCGAGGTATAAAACGACCCCTGGAATCTGGTATTGTGCTTAACCGAGAATAACTTCTTCACATCTCTAGCGTCGAGAATTATATTCTTCTCTCGAGCTCGAACTGCACATGTGATAACGTGTCGAACGAAATTCGGATGCATCTGAGGAAAAGCCATCCTTAGGTGAGCTAAAACCTCCAATAAAAGTCGAGGGACGGGAAAGATCATCCTGCAGCTCTCAAAGTAAGCTTTAAAAGCACAGCAATATCCCGGCCTAACATGCTCAAGATCTTCTGACTCTGTCGAGACCACGAGTTCGATCTCGTCAGGGATGTTGTACCCCTATAAACCTAGAGATTATGCCACTCTCTTTTTTAAAAAAAACTATCCTCGTATGAAAGATTACGAAAGAGGAAAAGGAAGAAATCGCCTCCGACTCAATATCGGGTACGTTTCAAAAAAACTTCTGGAGATGGATTTATATTCACTAATTGCTGAGTATCTCGAGGTCGTGAGGGTTTACCTCGCATCGATCCCGCATCAACTATCCGGACGCTTTGTAAGAAGTGATGAAATTTAAGTAAGGCTGAATACTCTAAGCTGTACAAACCCTCCGTCTCCCCGCATCTGTACCGTCAGATGGAAAGTAAGATCATCTTAAAGACTTTAAGTGTTGTATCTGCTTCCGAGGAGCTCGGTTCCTAAAAAAATTAAACTCTTTGAATTACTTCTTATCGAGAATGTTTATTTCTAAACAAATAATTATTGTCTTGCATTACCAAGGCATATCTCGATTAACGAAGTACAACGGCAAGATCTTATGATCTTTCGCCTTCCTGTCTGCAAACCGTCGATTTCCAATGACTATGTAAAGTTATAATGTAGTTCGACGGAACTGCAGGACAATTTTAAAACAACCTACCGCTCATTAAGCTTGATTATACTCACTTAATGAGTCGGGGTGCTATTGTTGGACCTGGATTTCCCTCCAGAAATCCGGCCCATAAGGCCCATCACCTAACCTTAAGGTCAAGATAAGTCCACTCAGGCCCAGTAAATGACCTCGAGCCCACCAAATATCCTTGTCCAAAATCCAGCTGTTTACTGTCCGAGCTACTTGTGAAGACGAAGTCGAGCTCTAGCTCGACGGAGTCAAGTCCGCAAGCTGAGTTTGAACGAGTCAAACGAGAATCTCGCTTTCGACCGTTCAGATCCGGAAATAGCGGGATCGGTAGTTGCACGTGGACGAGATACGCGGAGGAGGTTGCGATCTACTTCGGGAGCTATAAAAGGAGGACGATTCTAGTCTTAAGGCAAGTCTTTTCTGGATCACAAGTTTAATCCTTCTCATTCTCAGAAAATTCTTTCATCTTCCATTTTGGAGACAACTGAAGTTCTTCTCATCATCTTTTCACAGCAGAAACAGAGTGAAGTTCTTCTTCTTCGTCTTGAGATATTCTCATATCTTTTCTCTTCGATCTTATCTTGATCTTCGAGATAACCCAGAAAGCCTGATCTTTCTAGCCGGAAATCACTTCCGGCAGAAGTTTGACATAATCTTTACCTTCGGATCACTCATATAACCTGAGATTTATCGTCATCTTCACACCCCTTTAACTCTTTTCGTGGTCATTTCTCTTCAGAAAACGACTCGAAATAGAGAACAACTTATAATCGAACTACGTCTGGCTTGATCCCTAAAACAGGGTACGTAGGCAGCTCGTTACACGAGCGCAGCCACCACCTATTTCCATCTCTTTTGCTTAGTCGAATCCTAGTGTTTTACATGGTCTTTTAGGCCGGTTTTGTAACCACTTTATTCGATTAGCCTAAGTCCGATTTCGTCAAATATTTGTCTACGAATCATTCGACTTACATCAGAATCTAACCTCTGATTCCACAGGCAATTTCTCCCTACAAAATACACATAAATTTTGAGTGTGGTTATCCTCAAAGTTATACTAATTTAATCATTAAAAATAAATTAAATCTTTACTAAATGATAGCAGCTATTTGAGGCCTCTCAAGGCACCTCACAGTTTCACCTAGAGAATGCCACGTGGCACTTTAAAATTACACTCTCGGCCCATCACTATTAAATTCTTTGAAAAAAACCCAGACCTCTCACGCCCTTCCTTCTTCCTCCAAGCGGTGAAGTTGACGATCCAGCTTCAAAACCCCAACCGTTGCAGCTCCTTGCTTCATCCGCCCAGTAATGACCCGTCTTTAATGCCCCCTACATTATAAATAGGTTCGCGGCGACCCCCCTCCCATTCCTTTTTTCCCGATTCGCAGCCACAACTTCCGTTCTCCACGTCGACGCAGAAACGACGGTTAACAATGCCGGTGTCAAGATCTTCTACAGAATGTACGGTCATGGTCCTACCAAAGATCTCCACATCGTAGGTCTCTCTCTCTGGAGTCTCGACATATCTTTTTTAATTGGGATTTCGATTGTTTCCTCAATTTTCTTCTTTTCTGTTTCAGGTTTTGCCAGAATTCATGAATCATGAGGACCACAAATCAAAGGATTGACGAGAACGGATTAACCCAACGATGATGGAATCGTTTCCGATGATTCAGGAACCGGAGAAGGCGTAGAGGTATGCGCTTTCGACAATCGTGGTATGGGTCGAAGCTCCGTGCCTACCCACAAATCTGAGTACACGTGAGTCTTGACTCTTGACTCTCTCTATCGCCTCCGATTTTGTTCACGAATTTGCCTACCTGTGAAATTGGTTTTGTTAGCTTCACTCAGTTTGCTTTCTTTTTGTTTTTGGTGTAGAACAACGATAATGGCAAAGGATTCGGTTAGTTTGTTGGATCATTTGGAATGGGAGAGAGCTCACATAATTGGACATTCTATGGGTAATCTTTTTTTCTTTGATAATTCAATTGGCTTTTGATTGTTTTTTTCTAGCCATATTGTATCTTCTTATTGTTGTTCTCTTGGATTTTTGACTTAACAGGAGCAATGATAGGACACCATACACTTTGTTTTTTTGTTTCTTTTGTCTTTATCTTTGTCACAGTTTCTTGACGCTTAATATATCATGCCACAGATCCTTTCCGAGTCCAAGTGGCAGTTCACAAGGTGACCAAATGGCTCCTCTGGAGGGTCATGGAACAGAGACTGAGCATGGCGTTGTACGTAGCAAAGAAGAGAGCCAAGGATAAGAGGGTCATGGAACATAACTGAGCATGGAATTGTACATAAGAAAGAAGAGAGCTTGGTATCAGAAATAGAGAGTTCGAGCTCAGAAGAGTCCGAAAGCAAGCCTGTAAATAATGAAGATGGGATTGCAGAGGAGAAGGATGATGATAGTGAAGATGTGATAAAGAGGATTCGGATTAGAAGAAGGTGATGTTGTTTTTGGTTTATTTTCACCGCAAAACTCAGTGTAACACAACAGAAGAATAATGGAAAACTGGTATAGAAAAAAGAAAAGAACGATTGACATATCTTTATAGTTGTAAATAGCAACATACATCTCTTTCTTTTGTTACCGATCATTATTGACCCTTTGATTCATAGACAAAATAAGAAAGTTTTAACACTTCTTACTGCAAATAAGTTTGAAATAGAAAAATGAATTCTCTCTGTTGTTTACAAAATACAAAACACGAAAGACTCCTTAATGAGCAAATAATAGAAATAAACAAGAGAGAAAAAGAGTCACAATTGATATTGGAGAAAAGATATTAGTCGTAAAAAACTAATTTTTAATGTCTCTCATTATGCTCATCGTCTTTACATGAAGGAGCCTGAGAGTCTTAAATTCAAAGAATTTCTCAGCGAAAAACCGAGTACATGATGAAAAGAAAGATTTGGGCATAAGAAGTAGTTTCGTGGTACATATATTATTATAGTAAATTGTATACATGTGTGTGCTTTCACTACAAAATATCATATTTATATATATAAAAAATTGTTAAAGGGTCTAGGCAAAATCATAATTTTAAAATTATTTTATAAAACTTATGAAATTACTCAGAATATGGTATATGTCACTGATTTACTGATTGAAATTAACATCAAACAAATATTAAGAAATGATAATAATTAGTAGCAACTTATATCTAAATTAACATATGCTCCGCGCTACGCGCGGGATAGCCTTTAGTTAAATAAAATAGTGAAGTAATATAGATCAAGCATATCATATAAGAAATTTTATCTTTCATTTTATTCATCAAACGCAAACTTTTTTCTTGTTATTTTCATCAATAATATAAAATTTTGTTATGATAATCAATTTACACAAACAGCTAAAAGAATGTTTCAGCGATTGAAAACAGGTATTAGTTGGCTAAGTCGTGTTCTCTAGTTTGGGCTCAAAGTAAAAGAAGGTTCAAAGGCCCATTAGTACTACCAACGAGAAAACCCTAGTTTATGTCTCTTAGTTATAAACCTAATATCATCTCTCTGCCACAAACTTCGTCGCCCAGTTTCTTCATCAACTCAGCGGCTCGTGTCTTCTTTCTTCCCTGGTAAAACTCCCTCCCCTTCAAGGATTTGTGCTCTTATTCAATCTAATCTCGTTATTCTCGTATTGAATAAAACTTATCTGGAAATGGCTTTTGAAATTCATTTTCCCTATATATAATGGTTTAAAGGGTTTTTCCTTTCTTCTATTTGATATCTAAGATGTTTTCTTTTGTTTGGATATACTATTGTTAGCTTAAGGAACTTGAAAAAAAAACTAGAAGAAAGCTATGTCGTATGCACCACCGATGAAGCAAGGAAAGACTGGATTTGAGGAGCCACAAGAGCAGATTCACAAGATCAGAATCACTCTCTCCTCTAAGAACGTCAAAAACCTTGAGAAGGGTTAGTTTCATTTTCTAGATATTTAGCCATCAGATCTTTTAAAGAGTTTATCTGCAATATGTATAGCTTTACAGGTACTTGGTCTTAGTAACTAGTATAAGATTGAAATTATTTGTCATTTCTTAATCTAAGTTGGTTTTTGTATGTCTGTTTGATGTTTAGTGTGCACTGACTTGGTCCGTGGAGCCAAGGACAAAAGATTGAGAGTGAAAGGACCAGTAAGGATGCCAACCAAAGTTCTGAAAATTACCACAAGAAAAGCGCCTTGTGGTGAAGGTCAGTAATCTAAAGTAACTGCTCATTTTTCGGAATTTTAATCCTAGATTCGACTTCGCTTAGAGCTTGTTATTTGGTTGCAACTATACTTGCAGTAAAACTTGTAGTATATGTTTATTAGCTTTGAAAATAAGATAGAACGTATATGTTTATAAGATGTTTGTTTTATGTGGTTGTAGGAACCAACACATGGGACAGATTTGAGTTGCGTGTACACAAGCGTGTGATCGATCTCTTTAGCTCTCCTGAGGTGGTGAAGCAGATCACTTCCATCACCATTGAGCCTGGTGTTGAGGTCGAGGTCACCATTGCCGATTCTTAGATGCAATGTGGTTTAATTTACAAAATTGTGTTTGAATTCTCTCTTTTTTGGATTCTTGGTTGAGACTTGGTGTTTGCTTCCTAAATATTTTATCATTGCAGTTTTAATTTTGTTTAAACATCTGTTATTTTTGTTAATTTGTTCTGCTAGAACCATCAGGTCCGTAATCTGTTTCTTTCAACAATTAAATTATATCTTTCTACAAAGTGGCCAAAAACTTGAATCTACGTTGTGAAATCTTATAATCGTTTCGTCGAATCTATATTTTTGTGCTCCGTTCGAAACAGTACGACTAAAATCTCTAACATATGTAATAGATTTTTAGACGAACCTCCGTTGGTGTTTAAATTTTTGTGTAGACGAATCTTTTGTTTTGCTTGATCAATTTGTATAATTCTTCCACACTTGGTTTCTTGCTTACTGTGTTTGTTGTTGATTTCTTTTTTGGTCAAACCGTTCTTTGTTGTTTAACCCGAGATAAAGTAACTGATTATCGAACAAACAAAAACAGAAATACAGGGTAACGATACATCATACAATCATACAACAAATATGTTTAAAGATCCTTGTAAAAAAAGTTGTATTCTTATTACGTTAAAACATGATATGCTAAAAACATCATTTTGTTCACAATCACATAAACGTGATAGTAACCAATTCATGCCTCATGGGCTCATGGCAGAGCCGAAGTATTATAAATATTGTGTTAAATACCCAGTTAATAGGACGGCTAAGACACTGAGATCTTGTACAGACCAATGTTAAGAGAGGTAAGACACGTTTATTACAAGTGTTACCACTCCTTTGGCAGAAAGAAAGAGAATTCACTACTCCAAGAAAACAAAAGTCCAAATCATGAAAACTAAATGGTATGTTCGTGTTGCTGTCCTAGATCTGTAAAAAACTCACTCTGCTTCTTTTGTTTCTGTCTCCATCGTGATAACAGAAAGAACCAAACGGATATTGCTTTTTCATTTTGCCTTGAGCAATGTATTTATAGATTCTGTATACATAAACAAAGTTCCAAATAATACACATTTTATTTTTTATTATTATTTTTTTTTTGATAAAAGGTCTTCTTATATTGAAATATTTTTGGATTTTCTTTGGGCCTTTTATTTTATTTTTCGTTTTGTGGAAAAAAGTTTCCCTTTTTTTGAATCATTTTTTCATACTTTTTGTTTCGTATCTCTTGATATTGTTTCGTTTCTTTTGGATGTGCGTGGTCTTAATAAAACATCAAAACATTCTGTAATAAGAAACTGGGTGCGAAGTAAATCTTTTCAGTTTGGTTGTCTGTTGGAGATGAAGGTCAAGGAGAATAGAGCCCCTACGTACGATCATGTCTTCCGTTTTTGATGATTTTTCAGTTATCACAAATTATGAGTTCAGCCGTTTGGGACGTATATGGATTGTGTGGAAGAATAATGTTCGAGTCTCACCTTTTTTCAAGAGCGGTCAGATGATCACTTGTCTATCAAGATTGATGGTTGTGAAGAAGAATTCTTTTGTTCATTCGTATATGCCTCAAACTTCATGGATGAGCGTAAGGAATTGTGGAGTGACATTCAGGATCACTACGACTCACCTCTGTTCCGGAATAAGCCGTGGCTAATATTTGGAGTTTTTAATGAGATTCTCGATGTAGAGGAGCATTCGAGTTTTGAAAACTATCCAAACATAACTACGGGAATGAGGGATTTTCAAGACTTGGTGCAATATTGTTCTTTATCTGATTTGGTTTCTCAGGGACCTCTGTTCACATGGAGTAATAAACGAGAACAAGGAATCATTTCAAAAAAACTGGATAGAGTGCTCATGAATGAGCATTGCCACCAAGTTTTTCATGAATCTTATAGTGTTTTTGAAGCTGGAGGTACCTTAGATGCAGATTTCATCTAACATCGGAGGGGGTCACAGCTAGGAAACCGTTTAAATTTGTCAATGTGGTTGGAGATTTATAGGCGTTTCAGCCAACAGTTGATAATTATTGGAAGACTACAAATCCAATCTTTTTATCGACCTCTTCTCTTTATAGATTCATAAAGAAGTTAAAAGGGTTAGAACCTGTGATCCGTAATTTGGCAAAAGAGAAGATGGGAAATCTGTCTAAAAAATCAAAGGAGGCACTTGAGGACTTGTGCAGCGCACAAGAAGAGAGTTACTACACCCCACTACTCGCTTAAATGTCGGTTTGATAGTCAAAAGTACATGATCTTACCAAAAGCGAGGTACGATTGGTTGAACCTCCGGTTCCAAGATAACAAAAGTAAATAAGGATGCAATGACCAACTTCATCTCTGATGAACCTGGTCCCTCCTTTAATGGCTTAATTGATGATTTTCATTTGGATATCGCTGACTATCTTGTTGATCTTGAAAATTCTACAAAGCCAAAGAAACTCAAATCGATGATATTGTCTTCGTAAAGAAGACAATAATAACAAACTCTTAATCGTTTTTCTAGTATTGTTTAATATAGTTTTTGATAAAAAAAATTTAAATGTTTTGATGAAATATATTTTCTATGTTTAATATAAAATGTCTTTTATGAATTTTGTGGCCCAGATGGTGCCACAATTTGAGATTAAGGATAGT